TCCACGGGGCCTGCGGGAGAGCCCAAGAAGGTCCGACACGGTCCAGGAGCGTTCCAACACGCCCAAGATGGTCTCGTCACGGCCCAGGTGGACTCCCAAACGCCCCAAGAGCGCTTCCAGTGGCCCCCAAAGAGGTCCCGAGAGGCCGAAACCATTGATTCCCCTTGGGATTTTTGCTCCGCTTCGAACTCGGACCTGTTGAAAAGCTATTCGCAAGAGCACCTAGTCGCTGGACAATGCATCCCTCAGAGTCCTGTGCATCGCGCAGCCGCCCGGACTATGCTGTGAAACGTCGCTGGGCCACAGCAAGCTCCTCTCCTGTGCCGCCACGCCACTCGCCGGTCCCTCTCCCCCGATCCCTCCCCCGAGACCCATGCCACTCCCAAGGTCACCGCGCCGAGCTGGCACCATGCACGTGGAGGCAGAGGCGGAGAGCGTGGTGGGATAGGGAGGGGGCGGGCGCAGTGCAGGCGGCTCCAGTCCGCCCCGCCAGCCCCCGCCAGGAAAAATGCCCCGGCGGGTGCGCGCGTTCAAAAACGCTTAAAAGAAACGCTGCAACTGTCGGATTACTAATGTGATCCTTTTTTTCCGTTTCGAAAATGGCTATTCAAAAACGCTCCAACTGTCAGATTGTTCACGCGCTGCTCTGGCGAGGCTCCTCAATGATACCCCGCAACAAGTTCCGCGACCGTCCCAGACCCCCAGGTGCTCACAAGACTCAATGCTGTCTCGAGCCAGCATGAAGGTTGGTGATCCGCTCCAGCGGAAGTGAGGCAGGGGGGGTGAGCTATAGGACAGGGAGGTGCCGAGGGTTCTCCTCGGTGTCGCCATGCTCTGCGCAAAAAACTGAGCTGCTGCCGCTGGCGCTTTCGGTTGCCACTCGGAGGCTCCATGTCGCGAAGCCATGCCATGAGTTCAAATTCGCTCACAGGCTAGAAGGACGCGGAAAGTATACACTTTGAGCGGGGTTCACCTCTGGCGCGTCGTAGCTCGCCTTGCCAGCTGCTGCCGCGAACGCAAACACGCGGCTGAAGCTACCCGAGTTCTGGATCCGGCACGCAGACGACATGGTTGGCGACTTGACGAGGTCGGTCAACTTCTTGTAGCCGAGGAACGACTCGCAGACCCACAGGCCCGAGCTCCTGCGGATGGTCGCCTTGAGGTGCGCCAGATCGATGCCGTTCGGGTGCGCCTTCAGCACCTCGGCGAGCGCCTCTGCGAGCTGCGCCTCGGTGGTGAAGATCACCTCCCTCCCCGCGGCGGCCCCCGTGGCGGGGGGCGGCCCCGCGGCCGCCTCCCTCTCCACCGGCGGCCCCGAGCCAGCCATGGCCGGCTCCTGCCCCGGCGCGCCCGGGGCGGCCGGGCAGCTCGCCGCCGACGAGGGGCGGCCGCACGGGCTCCCGCCCCAGCGGGCGCGCTCGGGCGACAGGGACACCTAAGGCGGTGGACAGACCTCCCCCTCTCGCAGACCACCCTCTCGTGAGAGCTCGGGTGCTGCCAGAAGGTTGCCCCTGGCCCAAGGTACCCCCAGGATTCTCGGGGTGCCCCAGACGGCCTTCAGGGCACCCCTCACGAGGCCCAGAGGGTCCGAGGGGCTCAAAAATGGAGCGAAAAGCTGGGGGCACCTTGGGCCAGGGGCACTTCTAGCAACACCCGAAAAACGGCCAGGGACCGAAACCGACGGACCTGGACCCGCAAAATGACGGCCGCGGCGCCCTGTCGCGAGCCCGAAACGGCCCATTCGCTCATCGACGCGGCAGGGTAGGAGGCCTGTCAACCTCCGAACACCGGTGGGCGGCTCTGCAGGAGTTCGAAGGTGCCGCGGCCGTCGGCGCCGAAAAAGAACTCGCCGACGACCCGGCTGTGCGAGGCCCACCCCCCCCGGAGCGTGGCGCACCCGACGCTGCCGGCGGTGCGCACGACGAGGTGCCACTCGCCGCTCCTCTCGGCCACGGCCTCCACGCTCCTGCCGAGCATGAACCACGCGCCGCTCGCGCGGTCGCCGGCCCAGAGGAGCTCGATCTGCATGGGGATGCTCTCGCCGAGCTTCGGGTGCCACGCGCGCCCCTGGTACACCGCCGCGGCCCCCGCACGGTGGGTCGCCTCGCTGCTGCCCCCGCTGGCGGGCCGCCCGCGCTCCTCGAGGCCCTGGGCGTGCCCACTGCGGCCGCGCGGCGCCCTGGGCCCGCGGATCGGGAAGCGCGCGAGGCAGCCCGCGAGGTGCTGGGGGCGGTGGCCGCGCACAGCCTCTGGGGCACCGCCGCCGCGCGGGAGCCCGCCGCGCGGGCGGGCGGCGACCCCGACGGAGGAGGGGCCGTGGGTCGGCACCCGGCCGACTGCGACGCACACAAGCCACGCCGGGGCAGGGGTCGGAGGGCAAGGGGGCGGCGCGCGCGAGCCAGCTCGGGATTGAACCCGAAGATCAGGTCACAGCGGCGGTGCAGTATCTGTGGCCCCTCTCGGGCCTTCCGGGGGCTGCGGCGTGTTCGCTGCCTGCGGGCGTCCAGCGTTCCAGCACGGAGGGTGCGCGGCAACGATGCAGGTCCCTCCCCGGGTGACGAGGCGCTTCTGACCGGGAAGCCTCGCCAGGCAAAGCAGTGCCTCAGAGTGGGCCGCAGACGCAGGAACGCAAGGGTACCATGGGGGGCCGCGCCCCCCCCCCCCCCATAGCCGGAGAGCGCGGATGAAATACGGTTACTTTGCATCATAAGGACGCAGGAGAAGGACGCAAGCATCCTTTAAAGGCCACGTCGGCACACTGAGGGCGGAGAGCGGCCAGCGAGAGCGAACAATAATTGGCCGAAGGGGCAAAGACGCAAGGGGAGCCTTGGAAAGTTGCCCATCCTGTATTACTATGCGGGCTGACTGTAGTAGTGGAGCGAACAACGACATATGCATGAAAACTCGGAGGTCTGCGCGGCGCGCGCCAGGGATGGGGTCCAGTGCCGATCCGAGAAACCCTGCTGAGATGATCAGGCAGGCAGCGCATTTCTCTCGAGCCACACTGGCTGCGGGGAGGAACCCCCTCTCCCGCTTTGTCTGGCCTCGGAAGGCCGCTCGCTCGGGTGGCCCGCCACTCACGCCAGGGCCCCTGTGGGCCCCAGCCGCATCTGAGAGCCTCTAAGTTGGGCCGCGCACTCACTGGAGCCTGCGCGCCCCCAATGCGCCTCGGCGAGGCGACAACCTTCTTCTCTTTACCATTGGCCTCAAGCTTGAACTCATCCGTGGTTCGCCTCGGGGAGCGGCACGAACCTCGGCGCCGCCTGCTTCCATTTGTACGTGCACGGCGCCTGGCTCTGCTTCTCCACCGTGTTCGGCTTCTCCGTGCGCTTTACCTTGTCCTTGCTGCTCGTACCAACAATAATCATCGACTTCTCCGTGTGCTTTACTTTGTCTCTGCTGCTCGGGCCAGCAATCGTCATCATCGGCTTCTCCGTGTGCTTTACCGTATCTGCTGAGGCCCGCCTCGCCCTGCACTACCATCCACACACCAGGCCTATCGTGAAGATCATCAGTGCGCTCGCCAGGATGAGCATCCACAGGTGGTCGTCGATCCAGTCGTAGAACCTCACTCCCACCAGGCTGGTGGGTTTAGTGCTGTACGCGCCCAACTCGCACGAGGTCGTAGCCAAGCTTGGCATCGCCTCCTGCGCCAGCAAGGTGGCCAGTAGGCCTTGCCTCGCCCAGCTCGCGCTCGCTGCCACAGAGCACGCCTCCAGCCCCTTATGATTGTCCATCTCCGCGCAGTCCACGATGCCCGCCAACTCGCGCTGGTACTCAAACCGCGCCGCGGGATGGGCCTGCGCGACCGAGTCGGCTACGTGCTTCTCGCCACTCTCCTTCTTCACGTTGAGCCCGTGCACCTTCCGCTCCTGCTGAATCCACAGAGCCTCGACGTCAAGGTGCTGCACCTTGCCGCGCCCTCACGATTGATCATCGCCTTCGCAGCGCCGCTGTCGATCCCGAGCTCCCAGGTCACCTTGTAACCCAAACATCCCAGCACGTTCTTGACGAGCTCCCCGTCCATCACCACTACGGTCGCCCCGTAGAACTCAGTCCCCCCTGACGACGTGGTCTGGACTCCTTGCCGTCGCGCGAACGCCGCGAAGTGCACCCCGTCCAGCTTCGTGATCCCGCAAGTCATCGCTCTCCTCGTCGTCTTGCACGTGGCGAAGTCCGTGCCCGTGAACAACTGCAACTCCACCTCTCCATGCTTGATCGCCCTCGGTTTCTTCAGCTGCGCTGCGTAGGACTTGGTCCCGTTCAGGTACCGCACCAACTTCACCGAGCGCTTCCTGTCGAACTCAGTCGGCTGGCTCAGGTTCCGCGCAAGCAGCTGCACGCCCCTCTGGACGCCCGCTGCCGGGGGATATGTAGAGCGGCATCCCCACACCAGTGCGAAACTTCGCCTTCTCCACCTCGTCCAAGTCGGGGCTCCACGCTGGGTCCTCCCCCGTCAAGCTGGAAACCTTCGCTGGCCTTGCCTTCTCCATGCCCATCACGTAGATCAGGTCCTCTATGTGCTTGACGTTCACGTTCGGCCGCAGCATCACATCGCCGCTCATGTGCCTCAGCCTGTCGCGCTTGATGTGCGATTGGCGCCCCTGCCTGATGACGTCCGTCGCCTTCAGGCCGAACACCTCCCGCAACCTCTTGATCACCCCGTCTAGGCTCGCCACTGGCCCTTCTCCGTGGAAGCCGCCCATGCGAACCTCGATCAGGACCTCCTTCTCCCTGTGGTAGTAGAACTGCGGCTGGCACCCGCATCGCTCGAAGCCTTCGACCTTCAGCGTCCGTGACACCTTGTCTACCCACCCAGCGCCTGCCACGCGCTGCCCTGCGGGCATCTTGTCTAGAGCCCGCGCGATGTCTGTCGGTCTCCCCATCTCCGCAAGGATCGCCAGGTACTCTGACGGTGGCCCCACGCAAAACCATCTCCGTCTGGTCAGCTTGATAGTAGGCCTTCACGCAGTCCGCGATGAACGTGCCGTGGTTCTCCTCCATGATGCCCGCGAAGTCCACCAACCTGCTCGCCTGTGCTGAAGAGCTCGCCGAGAACGCATCGCCCCGCTGCTCCATCCACTTGACCTCCTGGGCCACGCACCTCCACTTGCAGACGTCACCGCGCATCTGCGGCTCCCAGCGAGCCCTGATCATCTTGAACTTCCCGCTCTCGCTCCTCGGGGTGTCCCTGCGCGCGCCGTCGTGCGCCAACACCTCCAGCGCGTCGCGCTTCCCCATGAGCTCCACTGCGGGATCCAGGCCGCTGGTCATTACGTAGGATGCCGTGCCCATGCCGTCCAGGATACTGTAGTCGATCGGGTCGTCGAGCGAGATCGCCTCCACGTGCCTTGCTCGTTTCCCAGGTGTGCCGAAGTCCTCGCCCTCGGCAGGTCTCGTCTGTCCTCTTGGTGTCATCGGTGTATCCTCCTCCATCGCGTTCTCGTCGGGGGATATGGCTGCTGCTGCCGCTCCCATATCCTGGTCTTGCTGGTGCTGGTGGTGGTCCCTCTTCGCCTCCTGCTGCCGGCTGCGCCTCCTGCCCGGGCGCCCCCTGCTGCGGTGCTCCTGGTGCCGCCGCTGCCTCTGCCTCTGCCTCTGCTTTCTGATCTGCCGTCGTCGGGGCAACCATGGGCACAGGTCGCTGCATCCGCGGCTGCAGCTCGCTGGGCCTGGGGCCCCTCGCCCCCCGCGGCAGCGCCTTCGCAGCCTTCGGCAGCCTCGCATCAGCACGCAGCGCTGGCCCCAGCCTCCTGCAGGTCCTGGCCAGATGCCAGCCCGCTGGCGTCAGGAACAGGTGGTCGTCGCTTTCATTGTGCTTCCCGACTCAAATGCCCTTCGCGAAGGACGACTCGCCCTTGCGCTTCCAGGGCGTCGCCGCGATCTGCCTCGCGTGGGAGGTCGGTATCTTGAAGAGCGCAGTCTCCGCGAATGGAAAAATCTCGCCGTTGCAGGTCACTCCGAAAGCTGCTCGACGGGGCGTCATCCCATCGGCCCGCGGTCTGTAGGTCGAAGTCGCCCAGCTCACGTAGCGTTGCAACCAAAACCAGAGGGGTTCGGCCGCTGATCTTCATGCCGTAGCGCTTCTCCAAAGCGAACTTGCACGTCCTCACCTTCGCTTGGAACCATCTGATCGGGGCCTCGATCGCGCCCGGGCCCTGACTGTCCTTCAGGTTCCCGCGCTTCTCCTCCAGCTTGACACTCTTGCTCAGCTTCTTGCGCGCCTCTTCCACCAGGTTCAAGATCGCGGGCTCGCCGTCCGTCTTGATCTCCGCCGTCGCGAGGTGCATGCTCTCGATGAAGCTGCTCACGCTCGCCGCCACGTAGTCCGCGACCGCCTGCGTCGGCGTCGAGACCGCGTTGAATATCAGCGCGCCCCTGCCGGCCATCACGAGCGTCGTCGCGAAGATGTCAGCCGCGGGTGGTTCCTCGTCTCCGATGTCCGCCCAGTCCCCGTTGGTCTTCAGGTAGCAGAAGTCCACGGTGATCTGGGCCTTCCCAGTGTCTTCCTGGTCGAAGTTGAGCGCCCCGCGCAGCTTGGTCGTCTCGTTGCCGCGAACGCAGGCCTCGCACCAGGGCGCGCGCGCGAGGCGCTAGAGCTCGCGAGCTGCACGCTCCGCGTCCGATGGCGCCTCAGGCCCCGCAACCTCTCGCGGTGCGATCGCGGGCCCTCCCTGCGCGGACTCCTCATGCCTGCGCTCCAACTCCTTCATCTCATTCTGCTGCGCCGTGAGCCTCCGCTCCGCGTCGCTGAGTCTGGCCCGCAGCTTGTCCTTCCTGCCGTAGACCGGCGCCCTCAGCTCCCCGAGCCTGCCTCGCCCGCACGCAGAAATGGTCGTCGCACAACTCGTTATCCATCTCCTGCTGGGTCTGCCGCTGGCGCAGCTGGTGCCGCTGCGGCTGCTGGCCCAGGTGGGGCCGCTGCAGCTGGTCCGCCGCTTCCTGAGGCTCCTGGCGACGGCGCGAAGTCCTCCTCCTGCTGCTCGTTCGGGTTCACGCTGGCCGCAAACTCCTTCGCCCCCATCGTCGCCCTGAAGGTCTTCGCCCGGAAGCCCACGTGTCGTTCCTTCTCGTGAGCGGGGTGCCCATGCTGAGGTCGCCGCCAGGGTACGCGCGCGCGCCCGTCGTCGCGCTCAGCCAGAACTCGGCACCCTTGCCCATCACCTCGAGCAGCGAGAGGATCGGCTTCGACATCGTGTCCCCGAGCCTGAAGTCCGCCATCAGCAACTTCATCTGCTCGTCGGCGCCGCCGACCGCCATCGGGACCGTCGCGATGAAGTCCATCTTGATCTCGTGCCCCTGCGCATCCAGCAGGTTCGGCCCGTTGTCTGCAAACTTCCTGCAGCCCTCACCGAATGCGGTCGGGCCCGCGCGGCAGTCGCTCGCCGTGTCCAGCGCGATAAAGGTGGCGCCGTCCAGCGCGCAGCACTCTGCCTCCGCACCGTCGGCCCGCATCGCCATGCAGTACAGCTGGTCGTCGCCGCAGATCTCGCACGCGTA